ACACACACACACACACATGAGCGCTCACGCACACACACACACACATATTTGGAAATAATTGTGACTCCTGTTATGCTGGGGACACTCCACTAGGCAGGTGTGCCAGGCAGACTTGGAACATGATTCTGGTCTTTAGATGGCTGACATTCTAGGTGGTGAATCAAGGCTAAAGAATCAAGTGAGGCGCTTGACTCCAGCGCTAAACTTTCCTCAGTTTCACCAAAAAGAAAGTCCTTAGTTCAACCAAGTTCACATTTTCCATGCCACACTCGCCCTGGAGTAAAACATGTCACTCTGTCTTGGTGCGTACAATTTGCAGACCCCCGGTCTTCCCTGGATCCCCTTCTCCAGCTCTTCCTGAGATTTCCTTGGGAGGGATGTGCTAACATCACTGTGCTAACAGCCACTCTCCTCCACTTTCTCCTTTCCCACCCTGACCGCTCGTGGAAGTGTCCTTCTGGAAGCTGGGCTCAGCATGGCGGCCACAGCTGCTGGCCCCAGTCCCGGTGACCCCCATCCTCCATGCCCATCAGATATTTCATGATATGGCTGGCATGGCTCCTTAGCGTCTTCTCCCACTCTGACATCTGGGGCTGGGGATCATCCGAGGGGCTGATCCTGTGCAGTCTCAGAATCCCCTTCTTACCTCACACTGCTTCTCTCCCCTAGCGTGGACCCCCATGAACCCAAGAGTGTTGTGTAATCTGTCTTGGAATCAGTTTGTTCCCGTAGAGATAGGAATTTCTTGCAGAAGTTTTGAAAATGACCACCTCCCCCAGAAATTCACTTGGTGCCTTAATTCTGCTCTTCTTGCCTCTATTTGAGTAAGACATTAGGGTGATGGAATCAGGGGCTGAAGAGTCTGATGGGGGTAAAATCCTTTGAAGCAGGCGCTGTGGGTAACCCACACAAATACAGGCCTCTCTCACCTTTCTTGCTGGCAGAACCCCAGTTTTGCTTGGGAGTATCTTCTGCCTCGTGGCTATGTGCTCAAGGAAAGTGACTCCATACTCCGCTTATGGGGAGATGGGTCTGAGCCATAAAATTAATCCATTCTTCTTGCCCGTGATTTGTTTAGGAAGGGTCATGAGACTGAAGGGAAAGACTTCTTGAAGAGGAGTAAGTGGATGGGCTTTGGAAAATCTTCCTTATTTTTTAAAGTTGGACACAAGGATCATATAGCTCTCCTTTGCTGCCTCTGAATTTCAGTGAATAAAGATGTGATGCCTGGAGTGGTGGCAGCCATCCTGATGCCATGACGAGAGCCAACTCACACACCAAGGATGGCAGGAGGGACATAGAAAAGGAACCTGGGTCTCAGATGACATCACCGAATTACAAAATTACCAACCCCGGACAGCCTCACCTCAGGACTTGTGGTTCCGTGGGAAAATAAAATTAACCGCGAGAAAGTAAAATGTCCTTTACTTGGGATTTCAGTTACTTGCAGCTAAAAGTTCTCAACTAACAAGTTCCCTCAGACACCACCACCAACCCTTCATTGTACAGAACCTTTAGGGCTCCCCACAAGAGTTGTTGTGTGGGGGAAATTGCTCCATGACCTCTGTGCCAACAGATCACAGGCAGATGGAGACCAGCCTCGATTGTCCCCGACTGGCGGAATGGAGGGACTGACCGCTTGGCTCCTGGTTGAACAATTACCACCAGTGAGCTCAGGTCCTTCGAAGCCAGCCCTTCTGGCCAGGAGAGGAGGCACACCTCGAGTGTAAGTCCAAGTAAGCAGCTGAGAACACTGTTAACTGTGAAGCCCTTTACCAGGGTTTTCTGAGAAGAAAAGATGAAGATAATATTAGTTGCAACCATTCGTGGAGTGTTTGTTTTATGCTAGACTAGGAATTAAGCACTTTACAGACTCACTTCATGTAATCCTCTCCAAAAGCCCAGGAGGTAGGTCTGTTCATCCCGCCTACACCGATTGCCTGCCTTCAATACACAGACAGAAAAACAGATGGGTAGATAGATAAACACAGTAGCAAAGACTGAACATTCATGGAGTGCCCAGCAGCGAGCCGAGTCTGCTGGGTGGATATCTTACTTGTGCCTCGAAATAAAGGTTACGGGATAGGGACTATTTTATCACCACCTTCGTTTCACGGACTTGGAAACAGTCAGGCGGTCTGACTTCAGAACGACGAGGCAGCCCTTCACAGCCCAGACCAAGACTTGGCACGTGGAGAGTGTTCCAATGTCCGTGAAATCAATGCGCTTGTAACTGGGGGAGCGTCCCCACCACCGCGGAGAGATCGCAGGAGAGCGCTCCAAACCAGTGCCTCTCCCACCCATCTGGGGTTCCCATTACATCACAGGTCCTGATTTGCTGGGGCCGGGGGTGTCCTGAGAGTCTGCTTTTCTAGTGAGTTCCTGATGATGCCTTGCCGCTGCTTCCTGAATGCAAGCGTCGGGGCCATGCGTTCCTTAGGAGCCTCCCAACCCTGACTCGGCATCACGCTGGGGAACCAGCTGGCTCGTGCCTGAGCCACGTCAGTCAGCTCCCTCTAGAGCACCGACTCTCCACAGGGGGCAATTTTGGCTTCCAAAACACAATGGCAATGTCCTGAGACATCTTCGGTTGTCACCAGTGACATAATATACATATAATATATATGCGTATAGATAAATAATACAGATTTTCTTCAATTACTTCTTGACTGTCTATCTCCCCCTAAGTATGAGTCTCCTGTTGTTGCTGTAACAAGTGACCACAAACTTAGTGGCTTAAAACAACACAGATGTTATTATCTTACAGTTCTAAAATCAGAAGTCCTAACATCAAGGTGTCAGCAAAGACTGTGTTCTTTCCGGACAGTCTAGGGGAGAATCTATCCCTTGCCTCGTCCTGCTCCTGGAGGCCACCTGCCATTGTCAAAACTGGCAGCATGGCATCTTCAAATCTCCCCGTGTGACTGCGACCCTCTTGCCTCACTTGTGAGGGCCTTGCAATGACCTTGGGTCCACCCAGATGCGCCAGCATAACCTCCGATCTCAAGATCCTTCACTTACTCACAGCCACAAAATCCCTTTTGCCACAGGGGTTAAACGTTTTCACAGGTCTCACTTCTAAGTCCTGGAGCTGAGAACAGTCACTGGTTTTAGGAATAATAATTTGAAGGATGAATGACTCTTGGTTTCCAGAAAAAAGTGATAAGAAAATTAGAAACGAACAGAAGACACCCCCCCCCATAAAAATGTAAATAAAGGAAATAGGTTTCCCTGTAAGAGTCAGATTATAAAGTCAACTCATTGTGGCGGAGAATCAGGACATGAGAAGTAAGCTTAAGGAGACTGGACAGAGTCTGGGCGAGGGTTGGATTCGGGTAAGGCAGTCAATGCAGGGAAAGAACAGTGCCCAGCTGAAGGGCCCAGAGCAGCCACGAAAGCCTGCAAACCAGAGCCCTTCCAGAAGACAGTGGCCACACATACCTTCCATAGGCAATGTGGCTGCCGATGACTGTCATGGACAGAAGACACAAATAAATGTCTCCTGGGCAGGTGGAGCTCTAATTGCAAACTAATCCGTCGCTATTTTGGTTTGTCCATTGGTGTGTTGGTTTGGGGGGTTGTCATAACAAATGACCACAAACAGAGGGGCTTAAACAATAGTAATTAATTGTCACAGTTCCAAAGGCCGTAAGTCCAAGATCAAGGTGTGGGCAGGGCTGGTTCCTCCTGTGGCTGTGAGGCTAGGGTCTGCTCCAGGCCTCTGCCTTAGCCGCTGGTGGCTTGTGGCCGTCCTTAGCATTCCTCAGTTTGTGACAATGTGACACCAATCTTCACGTGGCCTTCTCCCTGTGTGTGTCTCTCTGGGTCCAAATCTCCCCTTTTCATAAAAACGCAGTCAGAGTAGATCCAGGTCAACTCTAATGACCCCATCTTAACTCGATTATCTGCAAAGACTCTATTTGCAAATAAGGTCACATTCATAGTGGGGGGATACAAGTCAACCCATAACAGGGGCACCTGGCTGGCTCAGTCAGTGGAGCGTGCAACTCTCGATCTCAGGGTTTTGAGTTCGAGCCCCACGCTGGGTGCAGAGATTACTTAAAAATAAAATCTTAAAAAAAAAAAATCAACCCATAATGATCAGTTTCAGTGAATTGAGGTAACATGAACCTGAATTTCTGAGTTTATTTATTTATTTTTTTTAAGATTTTATTTTATTTATTTGACAGAGAGAGAGAGACAGCGAGAGAGGGAACACAAGCAGGGGGAGTGGGAGAGGGAGAAGCAGGCTTCCCGCCGAGCAGGGAGCCTGATGCGGGGCTCGATCCTAGGACCCCAGGATCATGACCTGAGCCGAAGGCAGACGCTTAACCGACTGAGCCACCCAGGCGCCCCGAATTTCTGAGTTTAAATGGGTTTGAGACACCGAGGAAACCATTAACTATGGGAAATCCACCAAGAAACAGGGGCATTGGTGGCGGCTGCCTGTGCCCCACATTCTTCGTCCGGCCTTGCACCCACTCTCCACTCAGCCTTCTGTGTTCATGGGGAGCCCCCGTCTTGTCAATATCACACAGCGTTTTGCTGAGTTTCAAGGTGAAAATCAGTGCTGAAATGCTATCCTGACATTCGGTCCGTGCCATTCTGATATTGGCATACATGTTTGGATGCAGGAAAATAAGCCTGCTAACCTGGAAGCGAAGCAAGTCACATCTCATGGCTAGGACAAACTTGGAGATCTACACGTCACCATCATAGGTGATTTTTCCTTAAAATGAGAAATACAGTGTGAATTAAGGAAAATGCCAGAAGATGGGGCACCTGGGTGGCTCAGTCGGTTAAGCATCCGACTCTTGATTTCGGCTCAGATCTCAAGGTTGTGAAATGGAGCCCCATGTAGGGCTCTGTGTTCAGCACGGAGTCTGCTTGTCCCTCTCTCTCTGCTCCTCCCCCTGCTCACATGCACACGCATGCTCTCACGCTCTTTCTCTCTCTCTCTGTAAAATAGATAAATTAATTAAAAAAGAAAAAAAGGAAAATGTCAGAAGAGACAGCATGGTGTAACTGCAGAGCAGTGGGTAGTTTTGGAATCAGACATGTAGATTCAAACTGTAGCTCAGACATATCATTGCTGTGTGACCTGGAGGCAGTTTCTTAACTTCTCTGAGCCTATATCCATTGGAGATGCCCAACAAGTGAACACCAGTATCATTCCACTTCAGTAACTTATTAGCTCCCTGACGGTAGATTAGTGGTTGGCAGGGGGTGGAGAGTGGGGGCACAGGGATGACGGCCAATGGGTATGGGGTTTCTTTTTGGATAATGGAAGTATTCTAGAAATGGACAGTGATGATGGTTATACAACACGGTGAATGTACTAAAAATCATTGGGTTGCCCACTTTAAAACCATGAATTTTATATTATATGACTTAAATCTCAATTTTTTAATAGGAAAAAAACCCCAAATGTAAAGCTTATCTAACAAGTAGCTGGTTTCATCCTCAAGGATCCTTATTAACACATTTATTTCTATTCAGCTCGATGAAATGATAAATTATATGAGTTTATATTTTTGTACCCAGCAGAGTTATTCTTCGACCACTAAATTTGAATAGTCAAGGAAAATGATGTCCCGAGCATATTTAATTAAGTTATTAATGAGGACTCTGTTTGAGCTTCTCTTATCCGCCTTAATTGCCACAGCTGGGCTCTCCAGTGCCACAATCACATTTGAGGTTTCCTTTGGTAAAATTCAAGGGTTGAGGGCGCCTGGGTGGCTCAG